ACAAAAAGGTAAACTTCAAACAAATCCTGTCCAGTACCAAGATTCCCTTGTAGTGGGTGGGGAATGGGATACCTTCCCCACAAAAATAAAAAGAACTTTACTAAGATTAAATTTGAATGTATCAATTCATATTGTTGAGATGATACAGAAATTAAAAAGCTGAAGAATTTGATTTAAAAAAAAAAAAAAAAAATATATATATCTCATCTTGAAGCAACAAAGCAAAATTCTGAACTTGAAACTAACAAACACAAAAGAAAAAAAAAAAAAATTTTAGTGTAAAGATCAAAAAGTCTGTAGCCACAAACATGTTACTAATTGTATGGTAGAAAATATTCAAATAACTTACATCGGTTGTTTGCCTGAAATAAGCTTCAGAAGAAAGTCTATTTTGGAATGGCAGCCTTTAACAGAAAGGGTATCCTCAGATTTTGTTTTTGTCATGTTTCAGCCAATGTCTTCCTCAGGTATATTTTTCATCTGATCATATCTCCCAACACCTTTTCATTGGGAGGGGGAGCATAAAGATGGAAGCAAGCCAATTACTCCATCTGAACCATATTTGGTTACATGTATTGACTAAAGCAAACATGTTCAAACTACTTACAATACATAATGTTTTAGTGATGGAAGACCTTAAGTTGTTCCCCATCCCATTAAGTACAATTACACCCACCAACTGAGACATTTAATTCTGTATTGGATCTGATTGTTCTATAAGAATCTTTGCAGCCCATTTCTGCATTCCAATGATCTGATTTTGCTTTGTGACAGTGTGACTGTAAAATGGCACATCATAGCAAGATTTTTGAGAGAGCAATATAATTAAAAAGGCTGAGTTGAAGAATAGAACAAGTTTTAGTTCAATTTGAAAGTTAATAAGTGTGATGTTTGTGTTCAGATAATAAAGATCTAATTTTTAAAAATGTTTGTGTCCATTACAAAAGCTGAAAAGAATATCATATATCAACATTGAAGGAAGAAAAGAAATGAAAAAAACAAAAACATTGCTGCACAAAATAATCAAACCTGTGAAATTATGTTACATTTATTTTGTTAAAAATAATTATTACATATAGAAATAAATTCAAATACAAAATAAACGTTATCTTTATTTCACGGGTATCATTGATTTATGCATAATTTTCAAGTTTTTCTTTTTTTCTTCCATCATCAACAATTCCTCACTTTTTTGCAAAAAACAATTTTTCTTGATTCTAATCAGACATATGTTCAAAAATCATTTAACGCCTGCTGATTAGTGTTTATTAGTACAAGTAAAACTAACTTATTTTAAATGTAATTGGAGTTTGGTTAATTACAGAGTAGTCTCCCTTTGTTTGCATATAACCTATTGTATAATATAAAACACTATATATCAGTCATACAACAATTTACTAACAAATTGCTTTTACTGTTTTATTTCATTGGATCTTTTTCATCACTTAAAAAGCAGAATTCTTTCTCGTATGCAACAACAGAGTTAATTGTATGAAAATCTTGGATTATTTGTGCAGAAAATGTAACCAAAGAAAATTGTAAAATTATGCAAATATGGCCAACAATTTTTTTTGATTATATGGGTAAATTAATTATAAACTCCATAAATAAAAAAAATGACTAAGCATCAAACTTGACTGACTTCAGTGGCCTTTAAGAGAGTTATATATAAAAGACAGAAAATACCCCCCAAAAAACGGATAAATTATAAGTAAGAATGTTGTGATTAATGTAGCGAAGAGTTCGAGTGGAAGAGATGACACAGAAAAGAAAAGCTGTATTAAGTAACATTAAAAGATTGTTGGATGCAACATGCACCTGACAACAGCCAGAGAACTTGGATTAAAAATAACTAAGATAAAGAAAATAAGCTAAAAAATTAATTATTGAAGAAAGTTTGTCTTCATTTTAGATTGTGAAGTTATAGGAAATATGTTCTATCCAATGATTGCATTTCCAAGAATATCATTAAAAAAATAATTTTTTTTAAAGTCTTTTTGTTTTGCAATATGGCAGCATCTAATATTGATTTTATCACTGTCTTTCATAGATTCACTGTTATTCATTCTCATATACTGACATGATAGCATATGATCTCTCTCACACACACACACACACAAGTGGGTGCTGAAAAGTTATTGGCTGACCAAGAAACCTTTCTGAAAAAATCTGATGTCTAGATTTTGTAAAGAACTTCTCAGCACTAATATATATAAACTAAAAATATATCTGTAAAAAGACAAAACGAAAACTTATCTGAATTGATGTTTCATCCTCATTTGCCTTAATATAGTCCATCAGAGGATGAAATGTGTCAGCTAAGTTTTCCTTTTGTTTTATATATATATATATATATATATATATATATATATATATAAAAAGAAAAGAGGAACCGCAAACATTTTTGGTTGTAATGTGGATTTTTTTAAAAAAAAATATATTATGCTTTATTTTCCATAATTTTGCTACACAAGTTTCTGGTCTCACAAACTTCATCAGGCAAGGAGTGGATATTAATTTTTGTTATGTTTTTCGATGTTAAATATTCTCGATATTAGACATTCTTTTTTTTGTGTGTTAGTGATCCAAATGTCTTCCTTGAACTGGCAGTGAAAAAGTTCTGCATGAAGGGTAATAAAACAATTAAAATTGGTCTGAGAAAGGGTGAGAAAGATATGTCTAATATCAAGAATATTTAACATAAAAAAACAAGAAAAATTAAATCCTTTTAATAATATGTGGAAATATCCACTCTTTACCTGATGAAGGTCATGAGACTGAAAACGTGTGTAGCAAAATTATGGAAAATAAAGCATAATATATTTTTTTTAAAAAATCCACATTACAACCAAAATTGTTTGCAGTTTCTCTCTTTAATATACACACATTTCTCTCGGAACTACTATAACCTCTACCATATATATATATATATATATATATAAAAATATCAGATTAATTTTATTTTAGACTGAGAACTTTTTAGCATACCCTCACTGTTATATGTGTGTATGTGCATGATGGATAGATAGATAGAATATATATATATATATATATATATATATATATATATATATATATATATATATACTTAAGAAAAAGGTTATAGTGGTTCCAATGAGAGAAAAGTGTGTATATTAAAAAGAAGAGAGGTACCTCAAACGGTTTTAGTTGTAATGTGGATTTTTTTTTTCTTTTAAGTATTATGTTTTATTTTCCATAATTTTACTACACGTGTTTCTGGTTTTGCGACCGTCTTCAGGTAAAAGGCAGAGATTTCCACATATTATTAAAAGATAATTATTTTTTTCTTTGTTTCCCAAGTTACATGGAACCAGTATACACATACATATATACCTACATACATACATACGTACTTCCTAAGTTGTGAGTAGTTCCCTTGCTTTTGTCAACATGCGCGTATATATATATATATATATATATATACATACACACATACACACACACATTTTCGTGTCCCACAGATACTCGCATGTGAGTGTGCATGAATGCATGTGAGTGATTTGATCATTGTATTTGGTCACTTTGTGTGCATGTTCTGTGCTTTTGCATGTGGGGTTATGATCTATTTAGTTTGGGTTTAAATTTGTTTATGAAGTTTTTTCTTTTTGTTTATGAAGTTTTTTTCTTGTATTTGTAGGTAAGAATAATAGGGAAGTATGTGTGTGTATGTACTGATTCCTTGTGGTGGGACGGTGTGTGTGTGTGTACAAATGTATTTACTAATTCCTCATAGTGAGACAGTGTATGTATGGAGGGGGAATATACACACGCATATATACACACATGCTAACAGAAACACATGAAAATGGAAATAGATCTAAGAACACACAGGGGTCATTAAAACATTAAAAGATAAAATACCGATAAGTAATTCATCATTCTCTTGGACCAACCTGAATTGTTTTATGACCCTTCGCGCAGAACTCTTCACTGCCAATTCAAGAAAGACATTTGGATTATTAACACAAAAACAGGGAATGTCTCATATTGAGAATATTTAACATTGAAAAACATAAAGAAAAAAATTAATTATTTTTAATAATATGTGGAAATCTCCACCTTTTACCTGAAGACGGTCGCAAGACCAGAAACGCATGTAGTAAAATTATGGAAAATAAAACATAATATTTAAAAAAAAAAAATTCCACATTACAACCAAAAACGTTTGCGGTACCTCTCCTTTTTAATATATGTGTGTGTATATATATATATATATATATATATATATATATATATTCTTTAAGAGGCATCATCATTTATCAGCTTTTATATAAATTTTTAAAACCTGAACCCTAAAACCCTGCCTCTTTTCCCCTCTACCATAAAGATTTAAACATAAAACCCCAACACGCATGAAATAAATGGACAGATGAAAAACAAATAAAATAGGCGAATATCTTTCCTCCATGTGAGTAATTACATGTAACCCAATCTGTAGAAATGACTGAGAACTTTTTTTTTCTCTTTGTGGGTCCTGCGGAGGTGAGCTGCCCAAAATTAAGAACCATGACAGCTGAAAAAAAAAAAAAAATTGCCCTTTGTGATATCAATGTTAGGCACAGCATAATGAGAAGTGAATGTAAAATAGACATGGAGAGGACTGGAATTAACTGTCAACGTGGGTGACATCTTGACTCAGACTGAGCAATGTTCATGGGATCAAAAAATCGACACTTGTGTTTCAATGGTCATAGAAAAGATTGAAGGAAAATAAAAAGTGGGTGTTTGGTGTAAATGAGCTTGTGTAGACAGAGCTGCAGGGAGGATTTGATCTGAGCCAAGGTGGATAAAATTGAGATCACCAGATTTGAATGTCCGCAAAAAATAATTCCATTGATGATTGCAAATATCAACAAGTGGGTCATCTAATGCAGATTGGGAATGAAGTGGATATCCCCCCTTGTCAATCCAGCCTGACTCACATTACAGGATGTTTTCTTTTTCTTTGTCTGATCTTGGAAATAGAGCAGATCGAAGCCTCAGGAATCATAAATGGGGAGTGGGTGTGCCTCACTGTTGAACACGTACTTGTCAAGTGGAATGATCGGGTTGCCATCAGCAAACAAAAGGTAGAAATACTTAAGCGTTTCAGCCAAAAAGAAGCTCTCCATTTTATCACGGAAACCTTGATTTGTTGTACTCTTTACGTTGCTGATAGATGAGTAACCAGCATTTGGAAGCTTGGTGTATTTCTCAAATGCCTGGAAGATCATCCAACCCCATTCTTGGTATTTTTTGTCCTTAGTGATTTGGTACAAATAGAAGAGACTTTCTACTGTTTCAGGACGTTGGAGATTGTGAGCATCTGCAGGCTGAAAGAGGGAATAAAATACATGAAAGCAACAGGGGAAATATCAGATTTTCAATCATACTTTGGAGTGGCCTCACTAAGTTCACAATGTTAAAATACAGAACAAAAAGTGCTTATTTTACATGGCAAATATTTATTTTATTGAAATGGATAACGTAACTCAAAGAGAAAATGACAATCAAAAATACTGACTTTACCTCAAACAAAAGGTGAGGAAGGAACTCCCTATCAATACTAGAAAGAGAAATAACAGATAGTGGACCTGAAAAATTGTTTTAATAGAAAGATTTTATAAACAATGAATGCTGAATGTTTCCTTGAGTAAACTGCCAATATTATCCTTAGATTGAACGTTATCCAGAGAAAATTTCAGATCAAATTCAGCTAATGAATTTACTGAATCACTTTATGTTAAGTATTTCCAAAAAAATAAAAATGTGATACCTAAGGTTTAAAATGAATTTCAAGCTAATATATTAAATTTAATGATAATTTGCTGTATTTTAAAAACTGATGTCTGGAAGAATTTTTTTTGTTTCTTTTGCTAAAATAGATGATTATTGCCCCTTTTTTAGTTGTCTTTCATCACAATATAATTCTCTTTATTAAAAATGTTTCAAAAATAAAATGTAATTTTCTGAAAGTTTCTTATTTGAGGAATATTAGCTGATTTAAAATATAATTTTACTTTAAGTTTAAAATATTGAAAAAAATGAATTTTTCAACCTGAGAGTAGCTGTTTCAGGCATTTGCGGGTTTCACGGCTAGTTGACATTGATACTTATCTAATGTTGCTTTATGGGGCTTTAGTAATTGGATTAATGTGAATGCCTTTATATATATTTTAAGTAATCAGTAATCTTAAAAATTTAAGAAAATATTCTCTAATCTAATGTTTTATTGAATTTTAAATATTTTTGGATGTAAATTTACTAGTTATCGCTCTTATTTTCTGATAATGTTGTATGGTTGACTGTATAATAGAAAATCGGCATGTTTATACATTCTTGGTGACTATCAATAATATCTTTATTATTACTCTTATTGGCATTATTTTTCCATTTTTCTTAAGATATCTTTCTTCAATTATCCTTAATATGTAGGTAATATATTTTCACTACACTATTATATATTAATAACAACATACCTTTTGTCAATGGTTTCTCTAACTGGAACGTTAGTGAACAGATTTTCAATGTCAAGTGATGCTATGGTTTCATTATTAGGTTTTCTGTTTTTACTGATGTATTACGTAAAACCAACATTATATACCAATTTAAATATCCCTTGGGAGAATGTATCTCCAACAAAAAAATATATATATATATATATATATGTTGGGTATACAATATCTACACTAACAAGATGTCTTACACTACACATGTCTGACCACTTGTCCATTGCAAGACATCTACAACAACATTCCTGTCCAGATTCACAATATAAAAAATTACTGATTAACACAACTATCCTATAACAAGAAAATAATAAATTCAAACTATAGATTTTAGAAGCGACATATATTAAAAAAATTAAAGCCAGCACTGAACAGAATTAACTATGAATACTGCAGTAATGTTCTGAAATGCCTGTAAAGGAACAATTTTTCACGCTTTAATGCGCAAGAAGATGATGATGACATTATAACAGAAAAAATTCCATAATTTTTTCATGTTCTAATGAATGCTTAGGACATTGTCAACTGTTTGAATTTAAAATCATAATGAAAAATTATGAGAATTGATAGCAATGCACAGCTTTGTATAAATACTTGAACCCCTGAACAACATATAGTTTTGTACTACTTGCACATCTGAAGATGAAAAAAAAAATTTAAACAGCTATAGCACATTTCTCTCATCCTTTAACATCAATACATGGAAAGTTATTTGTGAGTATGAACGGATTTTGTTAAAAATTAGCAGACATGATGCCTGTAATTTATTCAATCAAACATGCCTAAGAGAGAATTTGCTGCCTAAATACTCAAATTATATATATATATATATATATATATGCACACACACACATTGAAAGTTTCATTAAAATCAGACATTTATTTGATTTTTGCAAGAATTTTTCAAATCAATGTCTTTTACCATAAAAAAGGCACTAAATTTCCTAATACGTACTAATTCTGTTCACAGTTCATGCAAGAAAAACCAGATTTCAAACATACCAGAAAGAATTAAAGAATTTAATCAAAAAATACTTTGGTCTTCCCTCTTAATAATAGCAAACATTTTGATGATAAAACTGTTTTTATCAAGTTTGGGACCGTTTTTCAGCAAATTCAGGAACATACGACTTTACATCTATATTTAGAATTTGTTGTACTTATAGGTGAAGAGTGGCCAATATGTTTATAGATATAAAAATCAATGTTACAAATATGTCACTCTTCCAGCTTTGTAACAGGTTATGGGAGTGTTTATTATATTTGGGTAGGTTTCAAGAATATAAAGTAAATAAAATATAAATGAAAACAATCATTCTCATCGGTTTAAAAATAACATTTTAAAATAAAGAGCATGCAGTAGATGTCTACTAGACAAAATCAAACGCTATTTGTGCATTGAGCAGACCTTTTGAGAACAAAATTAATTGTTTATGAGATTGACTTCAGAGATTGGATTTGACTTGATTAATATAGATATAGATCTTTGCATGTAACCCATCCAAAAATGGTGAAAAATCTGCAATCACTTCATATTGTTTTGTAAAAGACTTATATATATATATATAGAACAGTCATTTATTTTTTAAGAAATCTTGGAAAAATAGATCTCCAAAAAATGCCTATGGCACCTGCTGACGTCAGGAAATGCCATGAACTTTTAAATGCAATAGATTGGTCCTTGATGCACAGATAAATTAACAATCCCTCCTCCAATATTAAGAGTTGATATTCAGGATTCTCTGATTAAAGACAAACCAATAGTTTTGCATTATCATCCAAAATTTAAGTAAGATTGAATGTATTGAGAATGAATTCCTTACCTTGACAATAAGATCTTCCTTAGCGCCTGGTGCCATGTTAAAGTAGACAATTTCTGGGCTCAGTTTGGTTGGCATCCGGTTGTACATATTGAAACAGGTTTTCATCAGTTTCTTGGCCAATTCCAAGTGGTCATCGCCAAGTCCATGCATATAACCTAGTGCCAGGGTGCCTGGTAAGTAACAAACCAAATGGTCCTGCACCGGGAGGGGAAAAAAAATTCTCTCTTTAGATTCATTGAGACAAAATAAAAAAAAAAAAAGTATATTTTCCTTACAGTAAATATTACTTGAATTATGTGCTTTTCTTATAGCATTTGGGCCACATTTCTCCATATCACTCACTCTCACAACTACTTTCTCTTTAATCAGACCTTTTTTTTATTACTCTCCCCTCCCCAAGGAAGTAATGAAAATGAATTGTCAACAAATTCTAATCTGAAGTCAAACAAAAAAAATATTTCTGTACTCTAATTTAGTAATGAGATATTCCATTATTATGATAACAGCAGCTATTCATAATATAAAGCACAATGTGACTTTATATATTTATTGGTTATGCAGTTGAATCTAGCTTTCTTGGTAATGAGATATTCCGTTATTATCGTAATAATAAGCATTACTTGATATCAATATACAATTTTTCTTTTTGGAAACGAAGTGAGCAATAACTGAGCAGTAAATAAGAAATAGACATGGTCAATGGAATGAGAACAATCTACCCCTGTGGATTAAATCAAAGGTTCAGTTCCTTGAAGCTTACCTAGATCAATGAGCATCTGATGAAGAGCACAACGGCCAAAACATAGTGATAAGAACAACAAAGATGAAGACTCACGCACACAAATGTAATTTTTTTTTCTTTTTTGTATAGGCAAATTAGGATTTTGGCCAGTATACTGGTTGATTAATTTTTGTGTAAGAATTAGTACTAAAATTGCTTAAATTTTTTATATAGAAAAGAAAAACATTTCACTGTAACTGGACTGGTAGAAATCTTGAATACAGTATAAAATAACAGATTTAGTACAGTCTTTGTTTAATTCTACACCTTCTTAAGTTGCTTCAAGCAGTAATGGAGTTACTTATGATTTAGTCAAATTTGAGTACAGTTGCATATAAAAAAAAAAAAATTAAAAATTATGTAAGTGAAAATGTCTCAAATTTTACATGTAGAGGAGAACAGGATGCTAATACATTGTTTTATGTGTTTTGTGCCAGCTTTCTTTGGATATTTTTACTTTTACTGGATTTAAAAACAAATTTCTTTTCTTACATGCAACAAAAAATTAATCACTGGTAAAAATTACTTGAATATTGACATCATCTTTTGATAGAATCACTATACTGTGAATGCATATATTTTACATAAAATCGGTCAAATAAGCTTGATACATGATTATTTGCTGAATTTTGATCTGAAATTTTCACTGTATAATGTTCTATATATAGCATTCTGAACTCAATGTGAGATGATGAGTTTTTTGGAAGTTCCAAAACATGAACTGATTTTAAGTTTAAATGAAAAAAACGTAAAGATTGCTTAAAAGTAGGTACCTCCATGAGATTGCTAAAAAAGAACATAGCATGAGGAAAAAGATGCCAAACTTGATGAAAACAATTTTATCATCTGAATGTTTATGTTATTATTAAGAGGAAAGATCAAAGTATTTTGGGGGTAATTATTTTACATTTTTTAATTGTTCCTAGCACATCCAAAATTTTCGTTAAAAATCTTGTTTTTTTTTTTTAAGTCAGCAAAATTGACAGATAATCAATCATGTCAACCATTTTTTTCCATTTTATAAAAAATGAAAATCCCAATTTCAAATTCTTTCAAAAATCAATTATAAATTTTAAGAAATTAGAAATTATAATGTTTATTTAAAATATTTTGAAACATGCATTACTTAGTTGCTGTGCTGAAAAGATGTAGTTTAAAAATAAATCAAAGCAGGTCATAACATTTCATGTCACTGGACAGGTGATGAGTGATGATTTCATCATGTATTGACAGCTTATGTGAGGAAAAGTTATCGTACGGAATGACAGAAGTGACATAATTATTTAGTTTTAAGTGAACAAATTATTTACCTCATTTTTAAGGAAAACTTTCAGCCCTCTAAATTTTTTTTTGTACTTAGCTTTCACCTTCCTGTTGCTTTATGGAAAATATATTATAAAAAAATTAAAATAAGACTGTTGAGAGTGAGATTAAATTTCATAAGAAAGGTATCTAATTAATTTATACGTACCTTTCTTATGAAATTTTATCAGAAGTGTACATGAAATACTATAATTTTATGTACATTTATTACATTTTACTGTGTTATTTGTATTTCCATTCATTTTATTATTAATTTTAATATTTCATTTATGGAAAAAATGCCATAACTGAGATTAATATAAAAATAAGATCATATAAATTTCATAAGATGATAGAAATACTTATAGGTACCCTTCTCAGTTGAAATTGAAAAATCAAATTAACTTCTCTACACGTGTTTTGCAAAAGTAAAGGCTATAACAGCGGCGAACAATGCTTCACTCAAATAATGTGACTTAATTGTATTCTTGCTGGTCTTCTGTACTTTTTAATTACAGCCATATTATGAACACAGAATTACATTTCTTAATTAGTGCGGGTCTTCTGATTGGTCGAAGTGATACAATTTACAATGTTGTAAAAAAAAGGCCATTTACAAAACTGAATGCGGTTTTCAACTAATTTTATATTTTAACAACTTAAATGTAAAAATCTAAAATAATTAAAGAAATAACAAATAATTGTATCAAAAATTCATTTTTCATCGAAAAAGTTTTTTGCTTTCAGACAACATTGCCCATATTCATAAAAGCAAATAAAACATTTGAAATTAAATAATATCTTTGTTTTATTGAGTTTTATATGCTACAATTCAGAGCTGATTTTCATGTGTGTGTGTGTGTGTGTGGGGGGTCCAATTAAAAAAAAAAATACATGATTTGCTTTCCTCAAAGCCTTGTGCTTTTAACTAATATTCACTAAACTGAATGCTATTGAATTTCCAGAGTTTTCATAAAATTAGTTATGGGGGTAATAAATATAAAAATATATATTTTTGCCATGACTTTAAAAAAAATAAACATTTATAATAATTTCCATCATTTGTGAATAGTCTCTGAAAGTTTCATTAACATCCAACAATTATTTTTATTTTTGCAAGATTTTCCAAATTAATGTCTGTCATACAAAATAAACTAAAGATTTATGTTATTTACTAGCTCCGTTGATACAGAGAGAAACAAGGATTTTTTTTTTAATCAAAATTTAGAATGTTCTAAAATGAAGGAAAAATTTTAAAAAATAATTAAAAAATACTTTGGTCTTTCCTCTTAATAATAACAAACATTTAGACGATAAAATTTTGTTTTCGTCAAGTTTGACATCTTTTTCATCATGCTATGTTCTTTTTAGTGATCTCATGGAGGTACCTACTTAAAAGTAAGATAATTTAATATAATTTATGATTATTATATTTATTTGAAGTTTATATATATATATATATATATTATTTCTTTCAACTTTTTCCAGAACGTGTTTTTCTGTATTAGTATTTGTTTTCGTACAACTAACCTGAAGATTATTTGTCTTATTTTTACTTTGTTTTTTGCTTACATAAAGTTATATTTATCAACTTTGCATTTTCTACTCATGTTCATTTCTATCTATTATAGTTTGGGTGTTAGTACTGTCAAAAAGGTAGTATAAATTATTTTATTGTAGGTTACAAATAATGACTTCATAATTTCTGAGTAGTTTTGCCTTAAATCCTGATTTACATTTTAATTTTTTTCTTTCTGCTTTTTTTATTTTTTTGAAATTAATAAACTTTTCAATATTTATGTTTGTTTATTTATGTATGACTATTTCATAATTTGTCTTGTTTTCTACTGTTTTTGCTTATGCAAGATAAACGGATCACTATTTAATGTGATTAATATTCACTGTTGAATTAAGTGCCTTGACAAAGATTTGTTGAAAAATAAATATTTCTCTATTGTAATGCTTTTTTTTTACATAAAGCTATTGACCTGATGTGTGTGTGGTGGGGGATAGATAATTTTTTTTTTTTTTTTTTTTTTGACAATTTAACTCTTTGTGGGACCTTTAAAGTCAAAACCTATTTCAAATTGTAAAGTGTTTCTTACAGTACCCAGTGTTTCTAGCCATCATCCACCCCATGTAAGTACTTATCAAGCTAGACATTACTGTGGGGTGTATAAGCATATATGCATATATAATAGCAAAAAAGAGAGAAAAATAAAGAAATCTATCAAGAGAAAGAGGAAAGTAACAGAAATAAATAAGAGGAAAATTTGCTTGACAAGAAAATAAAAAGAAGCTGAAAGATTTTCCCAAAGCAGACACAGCAATGGTCACACCAAACCACCAACTTGAATCTCACCATTTTGGGGCTAAAGTTGCGTCCACCAAGTAATTCGCCAAAGTACAACAGTTTGTGGGGTTCTGATTCTTTCATTAAATGAAGCTTCATTCCTTTTACTGCTTCCACATAATCAGATTTAAATCTGAAGGCGAGAAGAAAAAAAAAGAAAAAAGTAACATTAACATTTGGAATCCTTGTACACGTGTTTATACGTTTAACACATTGACTGGCATACAACAAACTCGTGTGTCTTCTGGTAGGGCTGTGTACTGCCTCACACACATGCTTCCATTTCACAGTTTTATTTAAGAATAAATAGATATAGAAATACGCTTGATTCAGTCTCTGCCTTTTAAATGTCTTGAGCAGAGAACATGCTTAATATTTTACACTATTGTTTACATAAAAAAAAATAACAGTAAATGTTTAATCACCACAGCAATAAGCATGGGGGGGTATGTGTAAAACCAAAATATTTCTCAAGTGACACATCAATTGCGCCAAATGGATTATATTTCACTGAGATCAAAATGTATTAAAATCCTTCAGATTTGTAGAGTTGAAAGGAAAGTTAACATTGAGGCAAGACAGACACAATCTTGTGAAAACCTCATAGTCAAATACGACCTTTTGTTTCTACCTGCTCATACACAAAAATATTTGATAATACAACTATTTAAATATAATTTGAATTTAATATGCATTATGCTTTTTATTTAATAAAATGGCAAAATTTTATAGATTTATTGTTGAAATAGCACAATTTTTAAACGAAATGTTGCAAAAATGAGTTTTATTTTTAATGCTTTTCCTCAAAGGAGAGTAAAAGAAAGGAATTTAAGTTTTCTTGTCAGTTTATATCTTGCCTTCTCGTTGTTCAAAGTTTATTTAGAAGAAAAAAAAAAAAGAAAGAAATCACATAAAAAAAACTAACATATCAATTGCCCCAAATAGATCATGATCAAAATTATTAAAAACCAAGAGATTTTCATATTCATAAACACACAAGTTTATATTTAAGGTGTATTTAGGCAACAGGAATTTGTTTAAGTTTTGTTAAATTCAACTGACAAGGTGTGTTTGTTTAATATATTATTCTATTCTTCTCATTGTTGTACATCTGAATCAAAATTATGGGTAAAGTGTCCAAAGCTTTTGTTCCATTTTTCAACCATCTCATCATTACCAAGAACTTGTCATTATGGTTGACAATATTCTGTTACATTTATATATGCATGCTATTGAAGTAAATATTTTGATTAGACAAAAATCTTTCAGAGGGGTGCAGTGATGACCGTATTTGACCTGATGCACATACACAAACCTGAGCAAACATAAGATTTTTTTTTTTTTTTTGAAAGGGTTCTGCATTCGACCGAGAACTTTTCAGCACCCTCTCATTTACTTTTGACTTCACTCCTTAAAAACATTCACCGGTTGCTTTATAGTAAAATTTCATCTCCATTAACAGAAATGGAATGGAATTAACTTTGACAAAAATTTTTGTTTCTGTGTAAAAAAAAAAAAAAAAAAAAAAAAAACTGCAACCATGCGAGGGGATGGCTGCTCAGCATTGAAGGCACTGAAATAATTTCATGGAGGGTTTCCTGAAAATATGGTTGGTGACTTGTAATGTACATGAAGTATATAAATAAACATGTTTTTGACTAAAGCTTAAAGTTGTTCGTTACTTGAAATCGAATTAGACACAATACACCATCAACAAATTGGAGAAGTGAGGTAAGCGTGTGGTTACAAAATATCAAAATAATCTAAGTTATTTCTCTTGAACTTTAATCTGTTTTAATATCAACAGTATTAGATTTTTGTTAAATAAAGTATTGTCAATTATTTTTTTTTTTTTTTTTAACTAGTTATACCTTATCGTTGCTTTTAATCACAATTTCCTTGGAATAAGGAAGTTGCTTTTGAGAAGACTTGAATTTGCCTCCCATATCAGTTTGCCTATGTGAGCTTATGGCTAAACAAACATGAATGACAAAAATGAATTATGTAGAGTTCAAATAATTTAAAACTTTTACAAAATAATATGGCATGAAAACTTTTTTTTAATCAATTCACCCCAAGCAAGGTGATAAATGCTACTAAGATGTAAGGGAGTGAAAGTGAATGAAAAGGTCTTTAGAAGGAACCAGAAACCCAATCATAAACAGGAAACAAGGGATAAACCTCTACTCCTGTTCAAAAGACTGGGGAGGAGTGTGAACAGGATGATGAAGTAGAGTGGGTGGCAATATAATTTGTACAGAGAGTCATATTAGACGAAAAATGGAGTATTATTGCTATATCTATCTTGAGCTCACTTTTCAACTTTGATAGAATTTAAAATTGTGTATTGTGACATGCACCGGTGGTCACGGTTGCAACGCCAATATGGGATGTCCATTGGTCGCGACATCAATATATGATGATTCCAACTCCGGCCCATGGTCAACTCCCAGTTGCAGTGCGAAGCCGTAAGGTTTCTTCCACCAGCGTTTTGGGGTTGACTCCTTGTCGCTGCCACCAGCCTGTGTCCCAGTCGATCTGGTCATTTCCGGTTCGATACCAGCATTGTTGTTCTCAGCTCGCCTCCAACACTTGGTCACCAAAGTAACTGCTTTGATCTCAAGTCTAACCTACCCACGTTGTGACTATGATCTTAGGTAGATGAAATCAATCAGGCGTCGGGCTGTAGTGCAAGCTGAATCCGGGGTAATGGTGATACCGCACAAGCATAAGCAAAAGAAAAATAACAAAACAAAGTCACGAGGTTCAAATATGTTGAGAAATAACAATTAACTTTAGCTATCTGTTGAATACAGGAGTGTGTTTCTCTCCCAGCCCGTTTCTATGGATTTGTGACACTTTTTTGACACTTTTAATTTCTTAATTGAAGTTATGGGATCTTAAGTCATTCGTCAATAAAAACTTGCTTTTGGTAGGAAGACTAAGTTGAAAGGCATGGAAATCTTTCAGTCAGCTCCTGCGAGGCTGGTTTCCAACTGCAACTCTGAACTCTCTTGAAACTCTGCTGAATAAACACTGACTAGCTGCCTCGAAACGTTTGTTTATATGAACACTGACCAACTTTGTGTTGGAGCCTGTCGTGGTTTGGGTTCTTTGACAATTTATAATTCCCAACAAAAATTCTCTTTGTCCTCAGGACAGGAAAATATATTACTTCCCATTTTTGGAAGCTAATCACTTTCCATTTCGGGGGTTTTCTCCCTTGTCCATGAGGAGAGGTTGGAGGAGAATTATCCTCCTAGACTCTTCCTTTCTCATATTGGTATCTCATACCAATCCTCTTAGTGGGTGTTTCTCATACATTCACCTTCGCCTATCACTCATGCCACCACTTGGCCAATGATCGCTCAGCAGTGTGGGTGTGGCTAGACCTGGCCTTCTTAAAATTATTGTCCAGAAAAAAAAAAAAAAAAAAAATTCTCTTCTCTTTTCTTTCGGCCAGAATTCTTATGAATCACACGTGGCCATAATTAAGTTATCTTATCCTGAGCCACCCAAAATCCACTTAGCAGAATCTCTACCAACTCATTAATCACTGCTAGTCACCTTTTAAACTGGGTGGTCGTGTTCCACCTGAAAATCAAATTCTTGTGTCTTAAAATTTTCGTATCACCAGATGCCCACTTTTGGCGACATTAAGTCTGTTGTCAACAGTTTGAATAAGCAATAACAATGATCATATCAAGATACATAACGGCTGGCTTTCTTCGTCGGAATCCAAGAATGAAAAATATTAATGGTATCTCTGATAGATAACCAATATTGATTTCTTCTGCCTGTATGCAGTTGACCGAAGCCGAAATTTTTTTTTGTGGTCGGCTTTCTGTTTCCCGAATTCTGTTTCCCTTGGCGCTTCACTATCTGATCATGACATTAATTAATTCTGACAGAATCTAAAATCTGGCTTTCTCTTATGGATTTTCTGTCTTCTACGAAAAAGTATCTTTCTTCGTAAATGAAATAAAATCTTTTCCCATTCTTTTTTTTTTTTGTTAGAAAAAACAATGTCGCTCGGTCTGTCTTTCGATATAGCTCTTTCTCGCCTTAAGTATTTCTCGTTTTTAATTTGTATGCTTAATTAGTTAGCCAATTGCCATAGCTAAATAGTGTCACAGTATATGGTCTTCTAGACTTATTTTCTAATCTACAGCCTCAAGCTTATTTGTACTTGCTTATTATTCCTGTAGAAAATGTCCAGATGAGCAATCCATTCTTTAGTTCCACTAGTTTAGACCTTTACTGCTAGGACACACCATGATACTTCCATGGAATTAAATCATCCCTATTTCCTCTGTGTTCCAAAGTTAAGAAAATTCCACTCTGATAGATTTTTTCTTAAGTACAGACACTTTATGGAACAGACTCTCACATAGGTGCTTTCACAAACACTTCAATCTTAACATCATCAAGTCAAGGGTCAATTATTATCTATCCTCATAATCTTCACTTCCTACCACCTCCTCTTTCATCCATATCATACACTTCATTCATAATTACCATGAATTGCATCATACAAGTCGACCTCAAGACTTTCAGCTCAAAATTCTGAGTTAGGCCTATACCTACCATATAGGTCAACTACCAGTGACCCAAAAAAATTTTTTAAACTTGAAAACTTGACTTATATGCCACAATTTACGGTACTATTTTAACAGTAACCTTCTATCTTGAGTAGCTCTCAATGAATTCTAGTATTAAAGAAAAATAAACTTACCATGAGCTTCTATGATTGAATTGGTTAAGATATTGTCTATGAAAGATAAATTATGAAGATATGGGATATAAATCCCTAAAGCTACTTTAATAGCCAGAGGATATTTAACACTGAAAGTTGTGATTGTCTTGTATCTTTTTTAATTTAGACTTTATTATCAATGCACTGACCATCTGATGGGAAGACTGCAAATTTCTTATTTTTAATAACTGTTCACTACCCATTTTAGACCGGTGCTCAAATGCAAGAATACAGCATAGTAACCACTGTACATCCC